ACGTTTATACAACTTGTTTTGCCAGTTTAAAAAGGTTGGAATAAAGAGGTAACGTGAAGGTGTGTTGGAGAGGCTAGCAGGGTTAGCCATTAGCTCCGAGAGTCGACAGACTAAGAAGTTGGTACTTTAATTAACAGTAGTCTAGTATTCAACATGAACCTTATAGTGCCAGGTCTCATTCACTAATCCTACATGAGCAGTAAGATGTAGACTGCTCAACCCTCACATTCTTGTTACTGAGAGTCTTAGGCAAAGAACAAGATGGCGGACAAGATGGCGGCTGCCTGTTCACTGTACCTCAAAAAAGAGGTAACGCCACCCTGTGGCGGTATTCGGTATTTCAGTAACACATTTGGTAAACATTTAAATATTTATATTTTTAGCAGGTTGGGATGCATTTTTCTCTGTAAGTATTTCTCCACTCTTTAATACTTGACAAGGAACAGAAGAAGCTGGTGTTTCCAAACTTTTGCCAGTTGAAAAAGGTTGGAATAAATATGTGCAACAACTCTGAGCACCTGTTTATTGTCTTTTCCAGGTAACAGAGCTGTCTGGTGCTCTGGTCCAGTGGTCCTGGTGGAGGTTTGGCTGTGAACCAGCCGGTGGTCAGTCTCTGCTTTGGACGGTCAGCGGGTTCTAACGGTGCTGGTCCTGGTTCTGTGGATTCTGGGGGTCAGGAGGTCTCTGATAGCTGTAAGAAATGGCTTTATTGCACCTTTTCTCCAACCAGTGGCTGCTCTGTTGTGGTTCCAGAGAGTTCCAGGCTGAGGATGCTGCTACTGAGCAGTTTGAGCTGCTCCTCTGGACCAGAAGCTCCACTTACTGTCAGCCGCTGGAAAACTGAGCTGACTCTGGATTGTTGGACTGGAGGAAGTTTTAAATGGCTGATTCTCCTCTGAACTTTGAATAAAGAGTTTGAAAGTATCTTTGTTTCATGAGTCTTTAACAAGTTAAGATGAACAAAGTCAATCCTGATTAGATGAGTCCATCAGTATAAGATGGAACTAGTTAGTGTTTCAGGAAGTTTTCCAGCTCAGGATGCTGGTTTCAGATCAATATTTAGCTGATATGAGGCAATATGAAGGCATGAGATATTTTGGTTGGATAAAGGTGTAATTTGCATAATCAATTGGAATATAAAAAGATTTCTTGTATAATTAAACACCTTTTTAATT